TTGTTGTTGTTGTTGGCTCCAGATTGCCTCCAGCGCTGGTCTGGATTGCCTTGAGTACCTGGGAATTGAACCACCACTCCCAAAGACTGACTGCTTTGTTTAAGCAGGCACTTAAACAACTGAGCTAGTGGGTGGGCCCCCAAGTTAATCTTAAAAACTGATATTTACTAATTTTAAAGTTTCAAAAATAAACAGCATTTTTAAAATTACTGGACTTGTTTTGGATTTCAATCAACTTACATAAATCAACACATTGATGTCTCAGTTACTCTTCTCTCATTGCTGGGCCAAAATACCTGACACCCAAAATTAAGGAAGGAAAGGTCCTTTAGCTCACAGTTAACGGAGGTTTCAGTCCGTACTCAGCATGAGAATTGCTGGCCCACACCCCAACCCCTACCATTGTTGCTGGGTGAAAATTGGGAGCTTCAAAAATGTAAAAACAAAGAAACAAAAAACAATCTCAGATCTCCAGCTCAACCAGAATAAGTCCAGGAGAATTTAAAAGTCACATATCTGAAGTAGGTAAAAGTCACAGATTCAAAATTTCTGAAATGATAGCAACTGAAGTAAAGAGACAACTCCACTGGGGTATTAGAAGAAATTAGAGCACAAATAATCTCTCAGGTAAAAAAGAAATGACAACAATCATGAAAGAATTGCTCAACACATCTAAAGAAGAAATAGATAAAAAAAATTGAGAATAGAAAAATGATGGAAACATTGAATGAACAATAGAGGAAAGAATTAGCATGTGTGAAAGAGATTCAAACTGATATACAGAAAATTAAGACTTCCACTGAAAGCTGGCAAAACCACTTGAACAAAACTGAAGATAGACTTTCAGAGCTTAGAGACAACCTTACACCTACTGAATGTGAAAGGTAAGATCTCTTAAACATAACAATGAACCAGGAAATTATAATTCAGTAGCTGCAAGATGATGCCAAGAGAAACAACAAAAAATTCATAGATGTCAACAAAGGAGCAGGAGTCAGCACAAATGACATAAAAAAAGTATTTACAGAAGTAGTAGCAGAAAATTTCCCATGCATGGGAAAAGAATCTGACATACAGTAAATGAGGCATATAGAACTCCAACTCAACATAATCAAAATAAATCTACACCTAGAAACACAATGATAAAGATCACAGAAATTCAGCAAAAGAAGAAAATATTATAATGTGTTAGAGAAGAAACAGATCACGTATAATGGAAAGCCCATCAGAATCATGGCCAATTTCTCAACACAAACCATCAAGTCCAGAAGAACTTGAAGTGAAATATTTCAACTTCTGAAATAAAACAACATTGTATCCATATTGATGTATACTACAAAATTATCCTTTAAAATTAATGGAAAAGTAAAATACTTCTGTGACAAAAAAGGAAAGAAAGAGATAAAAAAATAACCACAATTATAAGAGCAACAACAGAAAGAAATCATCAAGCAGAGAAAGCAATTAAACACAGGGGAAAAGTAGGGAACCTACAGCATGAAACTAATATGACAAAAATAAGCCATATCATTTATAACCATCACTATAAATTATCTCAATTCAACCAAAAGAAACAGATTGACAGAGTGGATCAAGAAATAAAATTGAACAATATGTTGTGTACAAGAAACACATTTAACTCAAAAGAAAATTGATAGACTGAAAGTCAAAGGATAGAAAATATGAACCCAGAAAAAATCAGGGGTAGCAATATCAACTTCAAACCAAGAATGATTTAAAAAGGTAAAGAAGGTCACTATATACTTTTTAGGGAAAAACTACAAGAGGAAGAGATAGCAATCATAAATATACATGCATCCAAGGTAGGAGCACTCAATTCATAAGATAAAAAAAATTTGGTGGGAGGTACCAGGAATCAAACTCAGGACCTTGCACCTACCAGGCAGGCACTTGTGCACTGAGTTATATCCCCAGCCTTTATAACACAAATTTTAACAGACATGAAAAATGAAATGAA